ATAACGCTGCAATGAAGAGCTACCTGCTTCCTTATGATATGGGCTTATAATTGAGATTACTTAATTAAGAGTGTGGCTATTTCATGTCTCTTGATTAACATTGGCAATTATTTTCCAGAGTGATTGGACATAGTTTTATTCTGCCTCTGGTAATGTATGAGAGAGCCTGTTTCACGATGCCTTGGCCAGTATTGGGTATTATATATTTGGGGAACAAAAGCAAAAAATGACCCTTCCTTGTTATTTTAATTGGCATCATTGATTACTGGTAAGGCTGAACATTTTGCCATGTATTTGCTGATTGTACTTCTACTTTTATGAATTATCTGTTTGCATCCTTTTCTTATTTAGCTGTTGGATTCTTAATATTTTTCTCAACTTTTTTAGTCAATTTTCATTAAGGGTCTATAGCTATTTTTCACATGTGCAAAAAGTTTTAAGTTTTTATGAAGTCAAATTGGCTTACTTCTTGGTGACTTATATTGCTTAGAAAGTTATTGCCACTTCCAGAAGTGACTTTCATATTATTTCATATGTATGCGGTCCTCTTATAATTGGTACTGGATGTGATATGTAGAACTAGATTGATTTTTCTCCTGGTATGGCTGACTAGTTAGAGATAGTCTTTGTAATCCTTCTTCCTCTTGGATTTTTCAGCATGAGACCCCCTCTAGAGGAGGTGAGTGGAATGATCCCTAAAGAATTCTCACCTAGGCCTGGCGTGACTGGTTCATAGTCCCACATTTCTTCCTGCTTGGCTGCCACTAGCACCGTCTCAGAAAGGTGTAGAGAAGTAACAGGCCTCTAGAGAGGTAGGGCATGTAAAGGTTACAACTGAGGGCTTAGAAGTCTAGACTGTGTGTGTTCAAAAACCTATCTTTGCTATGCAGTGCTTAAGGGATTGTGAATGATCTACAACATACCCTAAGTCATTGATTCAACAAATATTTATTGAGGACCTATTATGTGCCACTCATTATTTTAGGTCTGGAAGGATACAATGGTGATTTGCTATAAGAGTTTATATTCTAGAGGACAGAATTTGACAATAAACAACATAAACAATTGAGTAAAATAATTTCAGATAATGTAGGTATTTTGGGTTGACTATGTCCTCCCCAAAAGATGTTTAAGTTCTAACCTCCAGTACTTGTGAATGTGACCTTATTTGAAAATAGAGTCTTTGCAGATGATCAAGTTCATGAGGTCATTAGGTTGAGCATTAGTTCAATATGATTGGTATCCTTATAAAAAGGGGCAATCTGGACACAAAGACTGACTTGTACAGAGGGAAGATGATGTGAAGAGACTCAGGGTCATCTCCAAGCTGGGGAACACCTGACGCTACCAGAAGCTAATAGAAAAGTCTGGAACAGATTCTTCCTTAAAGCCTTCGGAAGGAGCGTGTTCCTGCGGACACCTTAATTTTGGACTTCTGGCCTCCAGAACTGTGAGGCAATGAATTCCTCTTGTTCTATGCCACTCAGTTTGTGGTACTTTGTTACAGCAGCCCTAGCAAACTAATATAA